TACATACATACATACATACATACATACACACACCTCAATTCTGTTTAGTTTTAAGCTTTAAACATAAACTTTCAAATGCAGTACTGTGGTTATTTTGAGTGTTTGACCTTAGATCAGTATTACAGTTTTTTTATTATTATTATACATCAAGTTTAATCATCAACTGCACTATAATCTACTTGAACTTTGTGGTTTGTGATTGGCTTCTTTTTCAACGTCCAAAATGTGTTACCGTGTTGTACAGTCTCGTGAAAATAAAAGTAACAGAAGAAAGTGCCAAACACAACAAAACAGATTTGTTTAGAGCTGCTAACCACCTGCAGACCACTCAGTTTGGTTTTTAAAAATAAGAGTCTGATCAGTGACCCAMAAGACTGAAATAAGTTCACAGAGATGAACCAGAATGACTTGCTGATTGAAAACTTATTTAAAATAAAGTATTTGAATTTCTTTTGTCCTTGTGAGAAAACACACCATAGCTAAGCTGCTAATTAGAATGTTAATTATATGTAGATTTTAACCAAAACATGGTTTAAAAAACACACACTCACAAACCATTTAACTGTTCAATTGCTTCTTAACACAAATACCTAATCAGCAATCATGTCGCAGCAACCCAGCACACCTAGACCACGTTACAAACTCCAGGCCCGTGGACCAAATGTGGCCCACCGCAGCTATAAAGATTTATCAATGACTTAAAATAAGCTGCTTTAAAGCCAGCATTAACTACAACCCCCATAATGCAGTTTTTTTTATCTGCTATATGAAGACAACCCACCACTGGGTGGAGGTGAACAGGGTTCAATCCTTATTCGACGTGTAAAATCTCTGCTGCATTTTTGACAACTACTTTTACTGGAGCCCAGTTGTATTGAGAAGTGGGAATTTTCCACTTATAAATGTAAACTTTTAACAACATTTCTGTGTTATTTATTTCACATTTAACCAGTCGTACATGTAGTATTTTCAGTGATTATAAGAGGATGTGTAAAAGATGTTTCTATGCAGAAAATACCAGGTAGAGTCCAGTTAGTGTTTGTTAGTGGTGCTCAGCCGTAGCAGTGAGAAGAGGAACATGTTTTGTGTTTAGCCGAAGTTTAACACAAAACGTCAAGAGTTTACCACAACTGGCCCTTTGAGGAAAACCATGATGGTCATGAGGCCCTCCGTAAAAATGAGTTTGATGATCCTGATGTAGGTGAAGTGAGGACAACTTGAAGTTCCAACTGAGAATCAGAACAAATGACTTTGTTGTTGGTGTCAGATTAGCTGCTTTGAGTATTTCTGTTGATCTGCTGACATTTTCACACACAACCATCTGTAGGTTTTACAAAGAATGATCCAAATATTAAAAATGTCCAGTGGCAGCATTTGTGTGGACAAAAAACGACATGCTGGTTTAAGATGATACAACAAATAACCACCTATTACAACATAGATCTACAGAAAAACCACTTCCTATCAGACAACCATGAAGCTGATTGGGCCCTAATTAGATGACAAAAGATTAGAAAAACATCACCTGCTCCGATGAGCGTCTGTGGAGGAATATTTGTTTAAATAGGCCGAGGATTTCAGTTTAAGCACTTTGAGAGTAAACAAGAAAAAAAAATTAATCTCTGCGAGACTTCAACCTCAATCTGTGATGACCTGAAATGCTGGGAGCCTGTTGGAAAACCTCCAAGCTAAAAGGTTTCTGGGGAAATAACACACAAACCCATCAACGGTCCACATTTATATTGTGCAATTTGAACCTCAACCAGGTTCTGTAATGGGCTTTACAATGTTTCTCAACTCCCCATGAACACACTCTTACACTAAACGTTTTCTTACACAAAAAAGAGAAATCTTGTGAAACGTGCTCGTTTTTAGCTCATGTTTTATTAGCTTATTTAATTGAGTCAGATTTCTTAATTACTTGTTTTGTGTAATTTCTTGTGTTTGTAATTTCTTGTCTTATCAAATCAGGTTTCTCTTGTAAATGAGATTTTGGATCTCAATGTGACTACCTGTATAAATAAAGGACAAATTAAAATATGCATTTATACTCTATATACAATGTTTTATAATCTCATACAATCTCATCTTACACAGCAGCAATAATATTGGCTAAAGACCTTTTGGCAGACGGCAGGGACGGAGGATTGAACCACCAATCTTCCAGTTAAAATGACCAAAGCTACCCCCAGTTAGCAATGCTAATCATGCTAATGAAAGTTAAACGTTAATAAAGAAGATAAAAAATACTTGTGCCGTTATAACTATTAAAAATAGCAACCAAAAAGAAACACTAATCTGGATTATAGAGCAGATATACTGTAAATCTTTATAAAATGKGTCTTATTTGTACATACTCCTTAGTTCTGTATCTTGGGAAATAGGATTATTATGAATAAAGTCAATTTTTATTTAATCAAAAATTCAGAAAAAAGAGACTTAGCACAAAAAGTAAGGAAATTTGGGTTTGGTCGATTATTTCTTTGTTGTTTATTGGCAATAAATCTTATAGAAGGCACGGCAGCACGTGGGGGTACCAGAAACTCAAAAATAAACTGTTTGGCAGAGAAGATTTGGCAATGTTTTCATGTGTGCATTGCAACCAACATACTAAGCTCTACTGCTCATCCCACAAATGCATGTTCCTTACAAATGTGGCACCATTTATAAGGGAAATATACAGGCTTTTTCACAGCATAAGGAGCATTGTTACAACAAAGAAACACTCTACCAAACACTAATTTCTTTGCTTTTTGTGCCAAGYTTACATACTCTCTAAMACAAATATCTGAAACAGGTACTATSAAWAYTGGCAGGTCAGAGCTGTACAAAAATATAAATTGGAATCRGTTAACACCTAAAATTTGTCCATAAGTTAAAGTAAAGCGGTAAAATCGAACACAATCTACAACGATACTTCAGTACTAACAAGTCGTGTCTTCAATACGAAGCATTTTTACTTTCTTATACTGAAGATTTTTATTAGAAACTATTCTAGAAAACATAATCAACCAATCTGATAAAATAAAAATCCCCCAAACAAGTTTTTGCTCAAATACTTGATATCTGCCAGGTAATAAAGTAACCACTGCAGTGAAAGCTAAAAGCCAGAGCAACTGTCTGTCCATCACCACACAGAGCTCAACATGTGCTCCATAACTCCTCCTCTTTCATCTCATTGTCTTATTTGTTCCGTTACACCACAGACCACCAAGCTTTTCCACTCCCACTCATACTTAATAATTTGCTTTTACTTTCTCTATTCCTCCACTCACCGATTTCTGCCTTCTTCGCAGCCTTGGATTAATCTCAATCTAAAGAGAACTCAACTTTGTCTTCAGTAAAACAATCAYGATCGTACCTACAGGGAACAAAGAGTTAAAGAACCCGACTCCTCTCCGTGAGCCCTTACATCAGATTTAAAAAGTTGCTCCAGATATCCGAGCGACGGCTCAGCGTGAGATCATCTTTTGTAATGTCCCATCAGGCCACAGGCGTCTGCTCTGAACTGGGGAGTACAGTACCTCTTCACCGAAACACTGAACCCAAACAGAAGGAGCGGCACTCAGAGCCAGCAGAGAAGAAACAGGAAGTCAGCTCAGACCGACATTAACCAACCAAGAGCAGAAACGACGTGGAGCAGGAAAAAATGTGACCTTTAACCTCTGGTGGGTTTGGCTTGTAAACAGAAGAGAAGACAAACTGAAAGCAAGAGTCAGGTTACGCTTTCTTCAAGACAATGTCCTCCTCTTCCTCTCTCCATTAAGCATGCTTGGAAAGATTTTTACAAGCTTTGTAAACAAAATTATATTTACACAACAATATCATAACTGGCCAAGTACCAGAGAGTAATAAAACCTGCTTTCTGTCATTTCTTTCACTTCGACCCGTCTGTGCAGGTTGCAGCATCACCACCATCTTATCGGGTTACAACATCTCTGATCTCAGCGCTGCCTGGAAACCACGTGCTTTCTGCTAAAGAGTCTGACCTGCTGGGCTGCCCAGCTGCTGCTGCTGGTGCTGGTGCCCAGCTGCTGCTGGTGCCCAGCTGCTGGTACCGGCAGCAAAACCTCCAACCGTCTGCAGTCAGCAGAATACCAATAGGAGCATCCTCCACCCACAGCTCACACTTCAACAGCAGCAGAATCATAAAACGAGCACAAATAATGTACAAAAACATTCAGAAATGCAACATTTTAAAACTGCGCTTCAAAACATTTTAGTTCACAAGAAAAGAAAGTTGTGAAAGTCAATTTTACAACTTAAGTGAAAAGCCCGAATTTCTTTAATTTCCAGCTCATTCAGAGTTTCTGCTGAGTCAACAGACTTCCATTGAACCTGATGTTTCTCAGCTAATCCAGTTAAATGACCTGATGTGTCTTTCTAATACAGTAACGTTACACTTATGTCACCATTCATGGCCTTCAGATCATTTTTGTCAAAGCTACCGTAATGTAAATATAATGTAAAAAACATCAACCTTACAATAAACAGGAAACAACATCTAAGACAAATGTAGGAGCATTTGTGTTTTGTTTTTAAATATTGTTAAAGCCAGTGTTGTATAAAGTACCACAAAGTGATACTTGAGTAAAAGTACAAGTATCTTACCAAAAAATTACTTTGGTAAATGTTAAACATTACTTGAGTAAAACAGTCTTAAATAATCTATATTTTTTGTACTTAAGTATTAAAAGTAAAAGTACTGATTTAAAATGAGCAGTTAGATTTTCTGTTAGGACATTTATTAGAAAAAACTGCAGAAATGACTGTCGTATTAAAATAATGAATTTATGTTAAATTTAGGATGCACTAGTCTGTTTCAGTTTATATACATATATCAAGGCTGCCCAAACTTTTTCCCCAAAATGAAAATTTATCTGAGGACTGTGGCCAAATGTAATAATATAATTCATGAAACACAAATACTTTTATTTTAATGATTATGTCCTGCAGGAGTGTGACATGATTTGTTTGTGTACAAACTAATACGGTATCAGAATTTTATATATTTATACTTCTCATTCAAACACAATTAAATTCACTCTGTCTAGGAGGCACAATTTCTATGGATAGTATTTATTTTTTACAATAACTAGTTGGAATAAAAACAAGCAAAAAATGAAATTAAAGTAATGACTTTCTACTTCTTGCCTTTTTTTAAAAAAAATGTAAGGAGTAGAAAGTAGAGATATTTGTGTGAAAATGTAAGAAGTAGAAGTAAAAAGTAGGATGAAAAATAACTCAAGTAAAGTACAGATACCCAAAAATTCTACTTAAGTACAGTAAAGAAATATTTGTACTTGTTACTTTACAACTCTGGTTAAAGCTTGTATTTAATGTTATCAATCTAATGCCTCAATTGCCCCAAAACTGACTTTTTACTCTCTTACAGTCTTTAAATAAAAACGTTTCACTGCTCTCCTGCTCAGAGTTTTCTGGGTGACAGAAAAACCACAAAGGAGGTTAAAACCAACCAGGTGGAAAAACAAAGCACGATCAAAACACACTGACCTTGCACGACGTGCCCCGGGGCACCAGCACCGGGTGAGAGGACGTCAGAGGGTTCTGCGGGACCATCCTGTGGTTCTGCCTGAAAGTGTCCGGATCGAACAAGTCCCGGGGCGCAGGAGGTGGTCCRGGTAGCTGCAGCTCATTTTGCTCCTTGATTAATTCTTCAATTAGGTCTGTGTTAAAACCATAAAACAGGCTCACATTGTAAAATTATTTAACAACCAGGAGTTCAAAATGGCCGAGAGCTGAAACATTTAAAATATACACACAATATCWGGAAGTATTTAACCTATAATCTTTTTGTATCATTTAAATAAGTTAAACTAGAGCGTTTCACAAAGCTTAACAAATAAAAACAAACATTTCATCTTAATAATTTGATATAAGTGGTGTTTCGAAGCATGTGACTTCTAGTCTCAGCCCGGCGCTGTTGTTAAATCACAGACATTTAACCTGTACTGTTATTATGGCTCCCAACAGGTAAAAATACCCAGCAGTTTGATCTGAGTAGGTGTTTGTGGTCTGTGATGTCTGACGTGTCTCTAACTGATTTCCTGATGTAGAAATGTAAACAAAGCAGTTGTAAAACCTTATTACCAACAATAATACTGAAAAATTCTAAACGATTACTTAATAAAAGTTCCTTTTTGTACAAATTTTAATATTTGCAGTCTGTTTGTGTAGTTTTATAGTCATCTCAGAGTTTTTTTTTAGTTTCTTTGTCTGTTTAGCTGAACCCACTCGCAAATCCCTCTCCTCCCCCCAGGGTCTTTGTTAGCCTGGTCCACGCGAGACATGTTTTGGTCGCAGCATGAAGAATCTGTGTGAAACTGACAGAAACTCTGACAACCCTCGGGAGGGAGGGGAGGGAGAACTGAATGATTTGCCCATGAGCTCTTGTAAACTGAGCTGCTCAATGAAGTTTTAAAGCTTGGAGCTGCACACTGAAATGTCTTCAACAAATAGGGAAGGGGGAAAAAACAACCTTTACTCTTTGTTATTTGAATGATGGGTGCATCTATTTAGGTTTTAAAATGTAAACAAATTGAGCAATCTGAATATGCAAACCTGGGAAACTTGGGTAATTTTTGGAAAAATAAAAATATAATAATAATGTCCTGATGCATCTCAATAAACCAGGTAGAAACATAAAAAAGTAGATTATTATTATTATTATTATTATTATTATTATAGGTCCTCCAGTAATAATAATACATTGATATTTACACTGTCATAGGAGATTAATTAATACAGAACTAGATGAAGATTGATTGCAAAATATTGCAAGTTGGTCATCTTTAGATGTTTGTTATTGTTTTTACTTCAGCTCCAGGTTAAAACCATGGCGCATATTTTTGTTGGTGCAGTTTGGAGAGCTAAAACGAAGACGTTCACACTCACCRAGACTTGGGAATAAGTGAGAGCGAGCGTCGGTCATCCCCGGACTGGGTGTTGGCTCCTCTGCAATGACAAAATCACACGACTGAGAGTGTGGTCAGTTTGACACAAACAAACACGACAATACAAACGAGCTTTAAACCTACCAGAGGTCCCGTTAAAAACGTCCATGTCTTTCATCGCATGGGAGCTCYGCGTAGAAGCAAAAGCAAAACTCCGACGTCGTGTTTTTGAACTCGTTCCAAACCGGATGAATCCAGGAATTAGTCGTATCCGCTCGGTAAAGAAACCCTGAACGTGGGCGAAACGTCTCCWATCGGTTCGACAAGCGGCTCTAAATGTTCTGACTCGGTCTAAAAGACGTGTTAAATCAATGTAGCCGTGTAATGACCGAGTCGGGCTGATGAAAGTTCGCTTCAGTTTTGTTTCCGTAGCGGCGCTCTCTGATTGGCTGCTGCAAAGCACGGAAATCCCCGAGGGCGTTACGTCACCTCTTCAGTGGGAACCCCCCCCCCCCCCCTCTCTGGAGTTGTTGCTGCAGGTTCAAAACCCATCACTTAATTTACATATAATGCACCCAAAAGGAGTCGTCACCCATAAAAGGAGATGTTTTTTTTTCCATCATGTAAGCTGAAGGCACGTTTCAGTGGTTTTACTGCGCAACAATATGTAACAATATGTTAATCAGCTTCATATCAACTCACGCACACAAGTGAACCAACAATATGAAATTTCTCCTGGTTATATCCTCCTGTTTTCGCTAAATACATATTTTTTAAAAGTCTCTCAAATTTGTCACCTGGACCAATGACCTGTCTGCGCGTGTAATAAACCTGTTATTGACCCACAACCATACTTTCTACTTTCGCGCAATGCTCTACTCACTAGGTCCGTAGTGCGCATGCGCATTTCAAACCGATGCGGGGCCCTTTTAAAAACATCCCTTTTAACATCTGGATTCACAACGTTTGTTCCCAAACAAATATTTTATCGTGTACAAGAACAGTTTAAACACACCAGAAATATTTAATTTAAAAACAGCGTCGTGCAATCAGATCTGGCTTCACCTGGATTATTTATAGGTTTGATTGTTTTGAGGAGCAACAGCGACACCTGCTGGTATACAGACAAATAAACCCAGWTTAAAGGAAATTGGAAGCGTTTAGAGGAAACTGTGACTCAGCACTGACCAGAATGACCTGGTCAAATAAAGTTCTGTACTGTAACAAGTTACCCTTAAGGTAATTACTGCATTTAACATGCAATCGATACTTTTAAAATTCTATATGCAGATATAACTTAGCTTTAAATAAAATAAATCCTGTCTGGTAAATTTTACACAAACGTTTTTGTCCTTGCATATTTCTTAAGCGCAGCTACATGAAGACAATTTATAGCAAAACTTCCCACATGCATTATGTGATTAAAATAAATAACACTCTGTTCCGGTCTGAAAATGYCCATCAAATTAGTATGATTCCTGCAAGATCCAGTCCACAATTAAAAAAATAAATTTAAAAAATGTTTTTCACAAATGTTAAAATTATTGAGCCAGTTTCATTAATACACTAAATGAATTTGGTATTTTGCGCCATCATTACTACAGACTGCTTGTTTGAACCTGCATTATGGGAAACTTTTGTACTTCTTGAATAAAATCATTAACTGGAACAAATCTGAACGTTTGCCAATAAATAAAAACACCTGGAGGAACCATGACAAAAATTTAGTCTGTCAGAAAAGAAATTTATTGCCTAACCTTTTAAACAGCATGACACACTAGCTACACTTAAAATTTAAAACCTGCAGATTGTTTATTTACAGCTGATTTTTTTTTGTCATTTTTAATTTGACGTTCGACTTTAAATTGAGCTTTTATTCGTAAACAAGTTTAACGAGCTGTCACCTTTGGGATCTCAGACAGGAGGCTGTTCACTTTGTTGTTTATCAGAATTTAGAGGGCTCAGCGGAGAAATTAAATTTCCTGCAACGTCAACAGAAACCAACATAAAAATAAAGTCAGCAGCAAAAATATTGTTCAACATTAAAAAACTAGGAGTGACATTTGAAAAAACAAGGTGTTGCATAGACAATTTAAATCACAATTTTAGTATAAACATGAATTCTCAAAAATTTAATATGCATCAACATGGAACCCATTTCTTTGAGATTTACAGCACTCAAAAAAACAAAACAAAAACAGGAGATATTTTTTCAGCACACATCTGAATGTCTGTCATGGTGATTTAAATTTTGTAGCATGTAGGCAATTTAAAAATCAGACGTTCAGCTGAGGGGAAAATGAAAATCAGATTTGCAAAGTATCAGCTGTTAGATTTAACATTGGAATTAATAACACAAGTCTGTACAGTTTGAGGATATACAAAATAATGTTTTAGTGACTGAAAAAAAAATTAAGTCTGACATATATTTATATTAATACCAACAAGGCTGTTATTTTTTCTGTTCAAGTCTAGAACAATAACCATTATTAAAATTGAGAGTAGTAGTCATTGTTTCGTGGCCCTGCAGGCTCGTCCATCAGGTCTCCGGTCACCGCGTCKCTTCTTTAAACGTGACTCGGGATCTTCTCCAGTTTCCTCCAGCACTATGCACCAGTGGTCCAGGCAACCCCGAAACACRGTGCTCACATGGAATGAAAAGAAAATCTCACAAGGAACCGACACAAAGAACAAAACTTGGCCTGTTTCTTCCCTGTAATTTTATATATATTAAAAAAGTAGTATCTGCAACCTGTTCCCCTCCAAATATCAACTCCAAGACACCGTAACCCTCTGAAATCAAATCATACAGAATACAGTACATCACGTTTTTGTTTTACTTCACTTGAACTGCAGAACAAGAGGGCAGGGGTGGGTGGGGAACAGAAATAAGAATTTACCAAGTCTACACTGAATATATTCCTCTGTGGAGCCACAAAGAAACCAGAAGGAACAGTTAAACTGAAWTTTTTTCTTTTCTTTTTTTTTTGTAGCGGCGTCCATGAACAATAAAGAACCTTTGAACTCCACCCCGCTTCCTGCCCAATTCCCACGAGTTCTCTTTGCCCCAGCAGTCAGGGCCGTAAGGTGGGGGGACAGAGAAGTGAAAGGTCTTGCTTAGTCGTTCTTCTTCTCTCCTTCTGGTTTGTCTGTGATGGCGCTGGCAGTGTCGGGGTCTGCCGTGTTGTTCTGAACGTGGTCAACTCCGCTGGTGCCGAATTCGTTGACTCGGTTTGGATCGACACGATAGATCCAGCGCTGGTAAAGGTAGATGAAGAACACCACGTCTGCAAGAGAGCGAACAGGTCAATCCAGTCAGGTAGAAGAATTTAGATCAACTACTGTAACCTAAGACACACTGTTTTATAAGAAAATGGCCTTTTTTTTTTACTGTCAAGTGTTTTTGTTTTAAATTATTATAAAAAAAGGCAGCAGAACAGACAGCTGGATAGTGTTTCAGTTTGATTTGCTCATACAGCTAATGTGTTATTTATCACAATAAGTCTAATTTCTGAGCACAGAACTTGATAATTATTCATAATTAAAAACTGATTGTGATAACCATCTAAACTGAACCACTCTGAGACAGTCAAGATTATTTTATCAGGCAACATATTTACAGTATACAATCTAGYCATCTGACTCTAGAGGGGGTTAGAGGAATAACTACAGCAAATAAAGGGACCGACTCCACAGGAAGATTGTAGTTTGAACAGTTGCTCTGAGATATTTGAAGCTTAAAGAGAATATAGTTGTGCATTTCTTTTTGTCAGCATTAGAAGAGAATAAACAGAACATAGCTTCCTTTAAACAAACCACAAATCCTTTTSGATTTACTGTCCGCCCACTTTAGTTCCCTACACCAAACAATGAGTCAATCATAAAACACCTCCAGTGTATTTATCTCCATCGTCCTCTTAAATAACAGAAGACTATAAATAGTTGATTTTAATAACGAGGAGGACTCACCATCTCTGAGGCATCCTATCCTGTACATCATGGGCATCTTGATCACAAAGGCAAACAGGTCATCAATAAAGGTATTGAGAGCCTTGTAGGTGAGCATCCTCCATGGGAGGTGAGCTACAGATTTCATTTTGTAGTTGATGAACAGCTGCGGCGTCATTGTAATGAAACCTAAAAAAACAAAGATGATTATATGGACAACTCCACAACAAGAGGCAGTAAAATAACCAGAGGGCAGCATGACTGCGTGTGCCTATAAGTCTAATAGTACACAGTGCACTAGTACAGGCTCCTGGGATTTATGTATGTAAGCATGATGCAAGTATGAGAGCACGAAGCAGCCACTCGTCTCTGGCCGTTAAAACAATCAGCTGAAGACAATCTCTCAGCACTAATGTGTGTGAAGGCGTCGGGTGAACTTACCAAAGGTTAACAAGAAGCCGTAAAGCATGCTGAGCACCCATGAGTACCAGCCTTTGTGCTCCACGTAAATTAAACTGTAGATGGCATAGCAGCCAAACAGAGGATACAGCAGCCAGGACAGGTATCTGAAGGCCATCTGTCAACAAAACAACAGAGGGAAGATGTGGGTCAAAGCTGTCAGAGTAACCAAAACCCAAAGAATGAATTCCCTCAAACAACAATCCTGTATTTGCCTGTCATGTATAGACACCATTGTGGTGGGATGAAAGGTCAATTTCACTAATAATGRTGTTGTCCATGGTGTTACTGGTAATTAACAAAACATTCATGTAAAGAACATGCTTGATGAATACCAGCTTATCCAAACCATCTGAAAGTGGTCTTTATAAAAAATAAGGTCCAATGTGCAGCCACAGTCTTAAACTAAACATGGAGTTGCACCATGAACAGCAGAGATAAACACTGACCTGTAGTCAGTGATGTCTCCTTGTCGCTCAGAACACAACACAAAAACTGATTCATGTGAAATACTTGTTTTTCTTGCTTTCAATAGTTTTAGCCTCTGAACCACTAAACAACAAAGGCAGACACTAGTGAACTCAAATATCTCTGGTTAAAGTCCACAAAAATGGAAAATAGTCCAATTAAATGTTCACTTGACAACACAAACAGCCTAAATTAATCTATATTCTACTTTATATGTTTTACAATATATATGGCAACATTTTCTATAGCAGTTATTTTAAATGTAATAATTTTTCTTCAGATCATCTCAAGTGTTTTATTTCCTGCTGTGGGGTCCTGGCCTCAGTTTTGAGAACCATTGCTTTATTTATATAATTGCAAAGACAGAATGAAAGTTTGATGATTATAACTGTGTGATGCAGATGACTGAACTTACATCATCATAGATTTTGGTTGAAGACTCCACATATGTTGACTTGTCTTTAAATACCAATCTTGGGATGATTCCTGCAATTTTGTTCTCTCGGTCCAACTACACAGAAGCCAACAAGAAGTGGTTACAATAATGTGATATTATGCACATAAAAGAGTAAAAATGTTGTATAAAACTCAGTTTTTACATTTTTATTACTCATAAAACTAGGGATGCACGATATATTGGCATTAACATTGGTATTAGCTGATGTTTGCATATTGGTATTGATCCGATAAGTAAACTGGGCCGATAACAACGTCCAATATTGATTTCTGGCTCGTTGCCCATCGAGCTTCTGTTTTGGGAGGGGAAATGTTTGGTTGAGTGATATCTGTTTTGATCACGATACTGGCTACACAGCCAGTAATAACTGGAGAGCCATGTCAGCGGTCTGGTTGGTTTTTATGGTATCAAAAAAAAGACACAAAAAAAATCACTGATGATGAAGAAATAAATAAACTAAATAAACTAATAATATTTGGTTTCGTTTTCTACTGAAG